TTAAAGAGAAACTACCTGTAATAGGCACGAAGTTTCCTGTAAATTAAGTACATTGCCTTTTTCATCCCTAAAAGTCTTTTTTTATTCAGAAGAAAGGCCACATTTTTCCTTAATCTTTCTTTTCTATGTACAGACTTGTTTGAAATCTATCTTCTATAAAAGTAAAGCCAAGATGGCCGACCAAAAAGAAGGCCGAGCAAGTTGCAGAATCAAAGTAAGTTCTCAATAAACATATTTGCACATACTTTGCCAGGAAACAAATTTGAATCTTGTGGCAGTAATCAGATCGTTTATAAACTGACATCTATACATCTTATGGGCCAGATTTTGCCAACCTCTCTTCCACGATGATTTGCGCAAGGTCTCGATCCGTCGATCGGGCCACATCGACTATAGTAAAAAAAATCAGACAATAGTCACAACTCACACCATCGTGTTCAATGATGAAATGGTTTTAAAAATAGGAACATGGAGTGTATCTTCTATTTTTGGTCTATATTTTTACAAAAGCGCGAAGTTTCTCCCGACTTTGACCTTGAATGACCTTGCCCTTGGCACAAGGGCAAAAGCAAAAAGTTTTGAATGAATGGCATCACTCACCACATCTTTTGTTTTTAATACTAATTTTTAATTGTACTTGACAATTGTGCAGTTATTGCTCACTTTCTTGACAAAGAAAATAATTTGTGTATTTTTGTATAAAATTCTGGTCACCGCAAATTTATATTTAGCTTTTGGATGGTGACAAACAAAGCAATTGTTCACCATAATAAATCAAAGCAATTGTTGACAAACAAAGCAATTGTTCAACAAACAAAGCAATTGTTCACCAGCAACAACATTTTATTGACAAATAAAAAATGACAAATAAATGTAATTTAAGTCTCGAGCACACACTTCATGTGCAATGCCTGGCTGTGGTGTATTGTTTTGACATGATTGACAGTTGTGACAGAGGGGCATTTCACTCCAAAAAAGTGTACAGGATTTTCTAGTCTATTTTTCGTTTTTCTCAAAGAAATTTTGTTTGATATTTTTTATTTTCCAGGTTTTGGGGGGAGTTCTCCCTTATTTTTGTGGATTTGAATGGATTTTGGATTGATGGATGTCCCAAATAGACCTTTTCCCAAAATAGCTTTACAACCTTGTTCCAGGCCAGTTTTTTGTGCGGTCTTGGTAAGTACATCCGCCGAATTGTGTAGAAATAATGGTTAAATCTGAAAAGCCCTACAAGTGTCATGAGCAACGCATTGTTGAAGGTTCTGTTAACCCTATTTACACAACATATTGCGATATGATTTATTGTGTTATGTATTGTGTTCCAAAATTTGTGCTCGGCCAGGCATTGTTCTGCTCAGACATCAAAGAAAATGGAGATTAGTCAAACAACAACACAATTTGGCAAATGTACTTACCGAGACAGCATAAAAAGGCCTGGAACAAGGTTGTAAAGCTATCTTAGCAAAGGTCTATTGTACCAGATTTTCAGGGGACTTTTGGCAAAGTGTATAGCATTTTTGCCAATGCTCCTGGTTAGGTCTAGGTTGTACATAATTTTTGTTTGGATTCAGGGCATCAAAAGCTTTATCAGCAAAAATACTAAATAATTTATCACCAGCAATTAGCCTTGTTCACGCTTGGTTTATATGCCAATTTAGGGGGTATTGCCTCTCCTAAATTTGAATTTCGAGTTGACATTTGAATTTCGATTACATGTACTGAGTTGACCTGGCTAACTGGGGTGAAGTAAGCTGACTAAAATTGAAAATGCTCAAAGTAGAATAATTGTTGTTAGCTATTGATTAGAGATGGTTATATGTTATATTTTAGGGCTTTCTCGCATATGGAACAGTGTTGCAAAATTGCAGTAATTATATTTTCAGTAGTATTGCCCCCAACACGATTTTTCGCTTGTATTCTCATACTTTACTGTCCTATACTTAAAAGCGTTTATTGAAACACAAAAACAACATTCTGATGCTAGTTTCAGTTTTTAACATATTTTAACATACTTTTCAAAATTAAAACCGTGCATGTAATTTTTCAACCAGCTTTGCCAAGACAACTCAGCAGTTACTTTTGGAAAATGTGAAATTTTTAACTCGGCTAGACGAGTTGTCTCAGTTGTCAAAAAGCGGGTCCCGGCTAGGTGAGTTGACTCATTTCTCATGTAATTGCATTATTGTTTTTAATAGTATTTACTATAGGAGCAATGGTATCGGTAACATTGTCTCACCTCGGCTGGCCGGGGCAACTCAGTCCATGTAATTGGCCCCTAATGGTCTAAAACACTTCATGATGATTTAGAAAGTACCCCCAAAATGGCAGATTTTGGCCTTTAAAAAAAGTTTAATGTAACTTACTGTCAAGTTTGGCTCAAAATAATAATTATTTATTTAGAGACAAAGGCAGACGTCTCTGCCTAGTGACCAAGAAGGACTAGAGGAGAGATTCATCAACAATTATATTGGTACTAAAATAAATAAAAAGCCATACATTAAGCCACCATGTACAGACACTAAACTGCATGCAATGCACCCTGTTACAGTATGGCCCAAATGCACCTGATATTACTATAATTTTACTCTAACACAAGACAATTTTAGTTGTGAAGCAGAGAGTCTTGCACATTCTTTGTTTGCAATGACGTAATTTTGGGATTTCAGTTGACGGGCAGGTATAACACAAAACGGCTATTTTAATGTATTGATGAAGTTTAGAGACACAGTATTTGCTACAACAATTCTGACACAGTAGGAGAAAAATCGTCCACAAGTTGTTTGATTGCCCGTCATTTGGATGAAAAGTCAGGTGATTGCAAACAAAGAATTAACCATTGACCACCAGCGCTCTCCCCTTGACAAGTAAAATCGTCTGGAATTAGACAAGGTAAAATAGTTAAGTTTGGCACATCAGCATGCATTGCCATTTAATGGTTAACAGTCGAGAATGCATGGGCAGATAGTCTCATTAACCCATTGAGTGGCAGTTTTCTCTCCTTGACAAGTAAAATTGTAAAAGGTGTCTAGCATTAGACAGAGTGCATTTAGCTGCCACTTAAAGGGTTAAAACTATCTTGCAGGTCCTTATACTGTCAGCTATCACAGCCCTCGAAAACCGTCAAAATTGGGGTCTGCAAAAAAATGCCGACATAAATCTGACCTAGGTCGGCACGTCTTGGCATTTTTAAAAATCTGTTTCTATGTCCTAAATTACAAATTAGGAGCAGCTTGAAGCCCTAGTAATCACGCATTTACACATCATTGAAATCGAAATATAACTGGAATGTTACCTCCAGCCAGATATGTAATCAATAGTCTTACGACTGGATGTAATAAGTGTGTTTATTTAATCGACAGTAACCACGAATCGAATTCTATAATCGCTACTTTTTAACAGCTATCCACACCAAAAAATACTTTGGCTGAATTGAGGTCGGCAAATATTTGCCGACCTGGGAGGTTGATAGGTCGGCATTTAGGTCGGAATTGCCGAATGCCGACCTCGTTTTCAAGGGCTGCTCTCACCAACAGTTATTGAAAAGGTTATACATGTATATAATGAAACCATTTTATAATTTTCATAAGGTCGGGGCGTCTTCACCAAAAGATCTTTCTGCAAAGGAGAGTTCCTTCTGGAATACGAAGGGGAATTAATTTCAAAAAAAGAAGGTTGCATTAGAGAGAGCACATACCCTGATGATGTTGGCAGCTACCTTTTCTTTTTCCAACGTGGAAATAACTCTCTTTGGTATGTTTTACAGGCACATTACCACATTACCTAAAGTTAAAACAAATACTATAGTTTTGCTTTAAGTCTTTACTAGGGTGTGTTGCAGCGGCGGACACTAGGGGAGGGCTTGGGGGGACCCGAGCCCCCCCCCCAATAATTTAAAAGACTGTAAAAATTTTGCACCAAATAATACAAATCACACCCATATAACGTAATTGTGATATTGAATTATGACTATTCGATAAAACTGATACCAAACAATATAATAATACATGTTTCTGTACTGTACATGTCACAACATACGCATTTTATACATTTTTTTTTTACTTTTTGTTCTGTGTTCTTTTTTGTTTAGCGGCGAAATTTCCTGCTGCACGATAATATTTGAATGCGTATTAAACTATTATGCTGAAAAACAATGGATAATTCAATTAACATTCCAATTTGTGGTTTCATGTTAAATTAACGAAACAAAAGCGTGCGCAGCGAATAGATTTCACTCACTTAGTGAATAAATTTTTACATTCTTATTGGCATGTTAAATTAAACCACCTTGCAATTCTATTCACAAATGTAAATAATTATATAAATATTTTCTCTGAAATGTTGGTTTTTTATGCTTAGCATGTGATTTATAACAAAATGCACCATTAAAACAGTGTTTTGAAAACCTAAAGTTTTTTACAAAATGTGTTCTCAGAATGCTGCAAATGCCATTTCCGGGATCCAAATTTTAAAAATTTTCCAGGGGGCATGCCCCCGGACTCCCCTAGAATTCTCATGCCTTCGGCATGAGCCCCCCCCAATATTTCATAAAGTGTCTGCCACTGGTGTGTTGGTTTAAAAATCAATAAACCAAAAACAATATGTTTTTGAAAACTGATTTAACTGAAGTTGCTTTTTCATAAAAATCATATAATTATGCATAATATACTATTGTTCACTTGGTAATATGATGAGAAAATTTTCTCGAGCTTGTACAGTTTGGAAATTATTAAATATTTCACTCGAGAACATTTTCTCCTTATAATATACTATATATGAAATACTGAACAAAATTGCCTGAAGATTGTCAATACCAATGTTTCATAGAGCAAAATAGCTTAAACTTAATATATCAAAAGGTTGCCACTACAGCCTGTTTCATCCAAGAGGAATTGTCAGGTGGCACTTGCATTTCAAGTCATAAGGAAAGTGCCTTACTCAATTAACTATTTGAGCTTCAAGGATTAAACTGAGATTATTTATTTATATATTTATATATATAGTGTTGATGCAACATTTGCATCTGGTCTTGGAAGACTGGTAAATGACTCGGAGCACAAGATGGCAAATTGTCTAATTAAAAAAATCGAAATAAATGGCCAACCTCGTTTAGCAATTTATGCTAAACGAGACCTAAATATGGGGGAAGAATTGCGCTATGATTATGGTGTGAAGGACCTGCCTTGGCGCAAGAGGAAAGGTAATCTGTACTAGATGTTATCAGTGGAAGATTTCTAGAAAGCCTCTCAATTAAGAAAAAGGATGTGTAACTCCTCAATGTTAATATGTTTAAAGCAAAGGCCATTTGCCACAAACTACTAACTCTTGTGACAAAGGGCCTTTCTGCAAAACATTGAGAAGTACAACTTTTTCTTTATTAATTTATTGGCTTTCTAGAAATTTTCATGAGCCAGGTTGGAAAGTTTGTAGTGTGAGGGCAAAAAATCCCCCAAACATTTCAGATATTTTCAGCCGCATATTTAGGTATTGATGTTATTTTTCAGTTCACTTGTCTGCAGACTTGGGTAATATTTTAGTGTAGTAATATAAATTATAGTAAAATTGTAAACCAAAACCCCAGAAAAACAGAATTTGCCATGCAATATTTTAAGGCTGCCCCTGCAAATTGATATTTGCAAACTTTCCAAATCTTATGAAGTGTGGTATTGGTTGCCGCAGCCAACATTGAAACCCTATATATATCTGTGTTGCCGCTGTGGGCCACCGTACTTAACTGTTTAAAAATACAAAACTTTAACTGGTGATTTATATGTATTTTTAAGCTATTATATTTCAAATGGGCTATTATATTTCTATCTCGGCCGAAGCTAGGATGTAGCGACGATAATAAGATAACGTCGACATTTCGAGTGAAGGCCCATCGTCAACGAAGGGCCTTCGCTGGAAACGTCGAATTTCTCCTTGTATTTTCAGGTGGTTGTATCGCTATCAACCCGCAGTTTCCTAATATATAAACACCCGGTACTATCACACAGCTGTAATAAAGCCTTTGCATTTGATATTTAAAGTAGTAAATTCTGATTGCTTTTACCTCAGTTCGTTGTCTTTGACTTTTTCATGTTAATCTTTCACCATGGCCATGCTACGCCATGCAATTGGATGCGACAACGTGCTGAAATAACTAATTAATTCTGATTGTTACGTTCTTTGTCTCGACATTTGTGTTTACTTCGAGATTACGGCACCAAAAATGTCGCAATGTCCTTACCAATGAACTCTATAAATACCTGAAGTGAAAACTCAAGTTCCCAGTCCTAAGGGGCGGACCATTAGAAATCCCGGGAGGGGGGGTGAAAATTCCCAAAAAAAAATTCGTGCAAAGAAAAATGCCTGGAAAAATAATTCGTGCAGCCATTACGTAAGGGAAAAAAAATTCGTGCAAGCAAGCAGCAGCAAAGTCATGGGAGGGCCCTGAAGGGGTAAAATGGGAACTGGGATTGATCTATTTTTAGACTGGGAAAATGGGAATTGGGTTGCTGGGACTGGGATTTGGCCACTGGGAATGGGAAATGAAGTCCTCAAAAATGGGAATGGGATTGAGGTAATGCGAGTCAATTCCCAATTTTTCTTCGTTTTGAGTATTTTAAAATACAATTTTGATCAGTTTTTGGTGTCTTTTGTCATGATTTTTGTTGTTAAGATATTATTCACAGCACTACCTGCGAACAGACATACTCTGGCGCCCGGAATTCTGAGTTTTCTGATTATGCGTGTCTCAGAATGCTGCAAATGCCATTTCCGGGTTTCAAATTTTAAAATTTTCCGTGCCTTCGGCACGAGCCCCCCCCCTAATATTTCATAAAGTGTCCGCCACTTGCTTAAAAGGTTTTAAAACTGTTTATTCTACCGATAAATAAAGGGGTTTTTATTGACTGGGATTTCAATAACTAGGACTGGGATTTCTAATAAAAATCCAACTGGAACTGGGATTTTGCAAAAATTTCAGGTGGGAAATGGGATTGGGACCCCCCTTTCAGCACCCTCAATTTTGTGGTAACTTTGGCGACGGGGGGGGGGTCGCCATGAACAAAGTAGAAGTAGTGTTGAAAAAAAATTCGTGCAGAGGTTAAGTGCATTAAAAAAAATTCCTGCAGACACATGAGACTGAAAAAAAAATTTGTGCAGCAAAAATTTTATACCCCCCCTCCCGGGATTTCTAATGGTCCGCCCCTAACCTTGTATCTTCCGTTCGTATAATAATAAAACTCGCTAATATTTACAAGACTTACAAAACTACGTTAGAAAAAAATAGTAGACATTACAAAAAAAAAGGCGACTTAGATACTGGACTAGAAGTCCCAACAAGGCAAACAACTAAATTCACTAAAAAATAATAATAATAATTTATTCAAACATACATGAGTACGTAAATAAATACACATTAAAATTCTCTATTATACTGAGCAGAATACGTCATGGTATGGCGCACGACGAAGGGAATTACTGAAATAAAGGGTTTTTGAGAAGCGGAGAGGAGAAAACCTCTGGTTCAACGAGGCTAAACCAGAGGCTAAGCTAAGGCCCATGAGTAAACTAGTAAGTTTGATTGGCGTGTCGAATAGTTGTATTGAATATTTTATTTGCTAAAACAACCTGCAGCAAGGGGCAAGGATTTTTGAAACTTCACTACAACCTAAAATGTAGTCGATTTTCTGGAGCAAACATACATATTTTACACAACCAAAATTAATTGTTTTAGTGCATTACTCGGTTACATGTTTCATAGTAACATGAAAATTATAGGGCCTATAGGCGCCCCAAGTTTTTAAAGTGACCCTAACCCTTCAAATTTGGCATGATTTCTAGTTTTGCCAAAAACAAAACTGAATTTCTTCGAATCCTCCGATTTTTATGAATTATGGCCGTAAGTTAGTAAAAAGGCACATTTTGATGGACCACTTCCGTGGCTACGAGGAGTCTGGAACGAGAAAAGTTTGTGACGTCATACGAGGTTCTCGTCAAAATATAGTTGAAAGAGCTGAAGGCTCAACCTCGTCCCCAGGGCTTTCGTGTGAGGACGAGCGGAGAGAACAACCTCGTACCCAGGGCTTCTGCGGTTGGGTACGAGGTTGTGGAGAGAAGAGAAAGCCCTGGTCGATCTGGGTCGGTCAATTTTGCACTCTGATTGGCTAACACCATATGTCTAAAAATAGCAGAACTTGACAATAACGAATTAACAATTCAACTAACATTGAACATTGAACATTGAACATTGAACATTTATTTAAACACGGTAAAATCTTCAGTGTAGAATAAGATACAAAAACTATTAATAAATTTCACACATCACTATATACACACTAATATCCTAACTAAAATGCACTGTTTTCCAAGATTGCCGTGTGGGGATCCCATTATGATGTCAAGAATTGATTAATTTCATTTTTGAAATGCCTCAATGATTTGGACGTACGTGCAGTTTGAGGAAGCGCATTCCATAAACTTGCTCCACTGTAGCAGAAACTACGCTTCATAAAGTCCGTACGTGGTTTTGGTAAATTTAGCTTCATTTCTGCATTTCTTAAGTTATAATCTGTGCTGCGGAATGTAAACATGTTTTGTAAATACTCTGGCGTTAGCTTATTGATAGTTTTAAACATTAGTATAGACTTGTGCTTTTTCCTACGTAAGGAAAGATTGTCCCAATGCAGTTTCTCTAAGAGAATGCTAGAGCTGACATCGTAGTTGGATTTCGTAATCACTCTAGCAGCTCTATTCTGCAGTTTTTGCATTTTTCACATAATGTTGCGCCAAATTCGTCCCAAATGGGACTACAGTAATCAAAGTGAGGTTGAATTATAGCGTTGTAAATTTGGACTGCTGTTTCAGTTGATATAAATGGTCTTATTCGCTTAAGAGCACCTATAGCGGAAGAAATCTTTTTACACTTCATATCAATGTGTTTAGACCAAGACAGATTTTTATCAATAATTACACCTAGTGATTTTGCCTCATCAACTTGTTTAATCACATGACCATCCAGGTCAATATTGATATTTTCGTTAGTGTGCGCATGCATACGTTGTCGAGATCCTATTATCATAAATTCTGTCTTGGCGATATTAAGGCTTAATTTGTTCGCTTCCTACCAGCTTTTCAATTTTTTTAATTCCGAATTAATAACATTTTCTAGTTCGGCGATAGTGTTGGCCGCATAACTAATGTTCGTATCATCAGCAAACATTCTCGGTACTGCTGCACTGAGACAATTAGGAAGATCGTTAATATACACAAGGAAGAGTAATGGTCCTAAGTTACTTCCCTGTGGTACACCACATGTAACTGATGCAGATGATGACAAGCAACCTCTAACATTACATTTCTGAGATCGACCGGTCAAATAAGACTGAAACCATTCGAGACTTAATTGATCCATACCGTAAATTCGAAGCTTCCGCAGCAATATCTGATGATCAATAGTATCGAATGCTTTTTTAAGGTCGATAAATATTACTTCATTGAAGAGGCCGTTGTCAATATTAACTGACCAGTTACTAGTGGCTTCAAGAAGAGCAGTAAGTGTACTATGTAACGACCTGAAACCGGACTGGCAATGCGTTAACAAGCTGTTAGAACTGAAGTAATTATAAAGTTGCTCAAAGATTAATTTTTCGAAGATTTTGGCTACAGCTGAAATAACTGATATTGGTCGATAATTATTCGGATCATTCCTTTTTCCTTTCTTAAATATTGGTGTTACTCTAGCCATTTTCCACTCGGATGGAAATATGCCAGTGTTAATTGATCTGGCAAATATATCAGTTAATGATGGTGAGATTATTGCAGCTGCTATTTTTAACAGCTTATTAGGAATGTTGTCGAGACCTGGAGCTTTTCGTTCGTTAATTTTACTCAACAGAATATAAACCATATCAATCGTAGGAGGTCTAATGGAAAATCTCTGCTCAGTTGATTCTAAATAGTCTTCAGGGTTGACGTTAGAAATGGGTATCTCTGAGGCTAGATTCTCACCAATATTTGAGAAGTGATTGTTAAAAGCTTCAGCTATATTTGCAGGTGTATTTATTGTTTTTCCGTCTACTTTAATCTCGTTAATGTTACTTGACTTATTACAATTACGCGAGCTTAGTTCGTTAATTAATTTCCATGTTTTTCTTGGATTTGTTTTAGCAGTTTCCAAATTCGTTATAAAATACTCTTGCTTTGCTTTTCTAATTTCGTTATTGGTACGATTTCGAGCAACCCTATATTCTTCCCATAAAGTTTGATCATCGGCCAATGTTGCTTTCCGCTTCAGATAATCTCGTTTATGCATATGTCGTAACAATTGGCTTGTTATCCACGGCGATTATTTTTTGCCTGCTCTTTTGGAGCGAGATGGTGCGTGCTTGTCAATGCACTCCATTAATAAACTTTTCCACGTGTCCCACATATCATTAGGATCAGTATTTGTGTTAACATCACACCACCGCTTTTGTTCCAAGTCTCTAAGAAAATTATCTCTATTCCACCTTCCTTTCAGCGTAAGGCGGAAAAATAAAGGCCTGACATTCAGGTTACAATTCAACATAACACTCGGTTTGCATGAATATGCGGGGTACCGGAGTGCGGAGTCTTGAAAATGCGGAGTGTTGAAAGTGCGGAGTGTTGAAAATGCGGAGTGTTCTCTTTTATTCACAAAGCGCTAAAAATGTACGATTATAAAATTACTTAGTGATCCAAACTTATGGTTAGGATTCTAACAAATGTACTTAGAATTCTAAAGTTGTATTCAAATATCGTAAGTGTAACCGGCTTAGTCCTGGCAGAACGTAAATCAATGATTTCATATTCTAATCATTCACAAACAGACATATGTCTAGCTATTTGTAAAAGGATTTTGATACTTTATATATATAGTTAATTCGCGTTGGCCTTGTGAGAACATGGAAGCGCTAAAAAATTGGTGCGTGAGTTCACGCATTATGTTGACAACGAAGTCTGTTATTGTCTATATTTATATGGCCTAAGCACACATTTAATATTGTAGCTTGAATATTTTTAAATGTTAAGTTTTTAGAGTCACTCTTCTATATAATACTGCATGCTGTTAAAAAAGGCGCAAAAATCTATACAAGATAATCGATTTTTGAGTAAGTAATCGTATAGGTAGATTTTGTGCAAATAGTTTCTGAATATCTGGATATTTATTAATAAAGGCTGTAATGTAGTCTAAATACAAGATGTAAACACGGATTATTGTAAGTTGGTTGAATAAATCTTCAAAATTTTGAGTTTTTAGACTCACGCTTATATGACACTGCCTACTGCTAGAAAGTGCATAAAAATCTGTACAAGACTGTGCGAGTTTGAAGCATTTCTGCAGGTAGATTTTGGGCAAATTGTTTTTGAATATATAAGTCTTAACCTGCGTTGTTGTAACTGTAACTTTCTTTAAAAATTTTCGCTTTGTAGACTCGAGCTTTTATAATACTAAAAATCTGTACAAGATAGTAGAATTTTTAAGCAATCGTATTGACAAATTTGACTACAACATTTTTTAATATAGAAGTTTTAACTGCCATTGTAGTATTTACTCTGCCAGTAAACAAGGTGTATAAACTATAAATAGTATGCTCTTTCTAGCACTTTCTAACATACAAACCAGGTTGTCATCACCAATTCATAATAATGTTAGCAGACAATGCTGCGCAAAGTTCAAATTGCGCCAAAATCCGGTCGAAGAAAGAGTGCATTCTACTTGACAATTGTGTGTATGGATTCAGGATGGAGATCAAGATCGAACAAACTGGCAAATTTTTTATGCCTGCTTATTAAATATTAAAGAATCAGGTTAGGAATAGTAAAAAAGAGCTAAAAAGTTATGGGTATCGCACCACGCAATCAGTTATTATTTCTTTAGTATACAGTATGCCACGGCTTTCAAGCAAGGCTATCACAACCGCGAGTTGATTGTAATATATTCATTATAATATACTCATTTTCTTTTAGTGAAAACTCCTGTGTCAGAAAGATGTCCCATCTTTTACTGACAGGTTATGAAGATGCCCCATCTTTTTTTAACCTGTGGAAGCTTAAAAGGAGTCTCATATTATTCTTTACATCACGCTAAGTTAGAGTAAGGCGGTGCAGCGATAGCGCTATGGCGCTAGTTTTTGGAATAATATCTATGACTATAATATATTTTTCGTGAAAACTCTTGTGTCAGAAAGATGTCCCATCTTTTGCTGGCAGGTTATGAAGATGTCCCATCATTTCTTAACCAGTCAAAGCTTAAAAGGAGTCTTATATTATTATTCCCAGCGTTGTAGTGCAGCGCAAAACTGCTACTTAAATTTATTATCATAAATTGACTATTGTACAACAACAACAAAATTAATTTGCTCTATAGGTGACTTGTCAACAATCAGGACTATTTATTCGCACTCGAATTTAAAATATCGTATAACACATGTGTGCAATTTTATTTTTAATGTATAGCAGAAAATTAACTTATTACTTGCTTCGTTTCACACCGTGTTTAAGCATTACAACCTGGATTGATGACATCTCATAACGGTAATTGATAATGCGATTAGAGCTGTCCATTTCCCCGATCATGCTGGTTTTCAAATCGTGCGGGTCGTCATACAAGCAAATCCGTATATTTCCTGTACGGCATAGGCGTACGAGACCGGGGGGGGGGGATTAGGAGCTGCCCCCTAAAAATTTTGAAAGGTCGATAAGTTGGGCAAATTTTCAGTGTAAGTCGGGCAAAAAATATGGGTGAAATAATGTTAGATAATAAGTTTTTAAGTATTTGTTAATCAACACAGCGAAAATCAGTCATAATTACATTAATTCCAAGACACAAACATGTTAAAACAGGGCCGTAGCGAGCCGGATTGTGTATGAGGGGAAGTAACACTCCTCCCCAATCACCACGAAAACCATTTCTCAACAGGTAGAAATCCGTTGAGAAATTAGGGGGGGGGGCATAGTTCCACCAGTTTTCCAAGGTGATGCACTTTATAGTCTTCGGAATTCTGCAAAATATCACCACAGATATGCTTGAAATCTGATATATATATATATATATATATATATATATATATATATATATATTAAACTCTAAGACTAAGAACCTGAGTATTTCCTTCTCCTAATTGGCAAGAACGAACCCAGCTAAGGCTATTGGGGTGGGATGACTCCTTGGCAATACTATTTAACGATAATTTAAATACAGGAATGTTTCAACGTGGTACGACTCCATAGTTTTGGCAGGCGTACTCTCTATAACGTAATCGTATTAATTTCCCACCTAAGGAAAGGCATATTTGATAACACACTTCTTCTTTTTAGATATTTCCAGGAGATTGCCCACTAACTATTTTGGGGCGCTGAAAAAGAAAATAGACGCAGGTACGCGTGCTCTTTGTAGTTTTCCTTTCATCGATGAAACATCGAGAAAACAAGCGTACCAAATAACGTGTGAGAACAACATTTGAAAAGCCACAATAAAGAAAATAGAGAAAGGACATGCAAGGTCCATTTGGAAAATATAATATAAAGTAAACCAATTACTTGAAGGATAAAATCCTCCCGAGGTATAAATTTCCCGATTTCAAAAAGAGATCCAATGCTACCTACGTATAACGCTTTGTTAATACTCTGCTGTAGTAAGGTCAGATACACAAACACGCAGTAACAGCAAAGTTCTTTTCTTGTTAGCTGACAATTCAGTTCATTTTTCAGAGAAAATAACAGCCATCTTCAACGAAGGTTCAAAGACAAATAAATCTCTCTGCACAGAAACGAAAAATTTGGTATTAAACAAAGGTATTAAAAGTTTACATATTGAAACGCTGCATGATTATCAGTTTTCTTCGTCAAATTAACAAGGCATAAAATATACTGAAATATTCAACGACTTAAAGTACAAATGTAATTACGATGTTACAGGAAATTTCTTTTCAATTCACTAGAAGAGAAACGAAAGGAATCACCTTGTGTAATTTACCATGCTTGAATTAAGGAATGAATTAAGAGGTGCACACCAAAGAAATGGCAAAGATAGGGATGCGCAGAGTTGCTTATTAAGTCAATTTTTCATTTAGATCCGAGCACCCTTAAACCGCACACTCAAAAGTAGCGATTCCCAAGTTCACCAGTATAAACTTCACCAATACTTTATTTTCGCTACCACGAAACTAAAAGATACGTGCAGTTAAGATATCAAACAAGACATTTAAAGGCAAATGAATCAGCAGTACGAATGTACGTTTTTAAGAACTGTACATAGCTACTATGCGGAGAAGCGCATATTCTTAACTATCACCTTACTATGCTAAATTATTGTTCCAGAAAGAAACTTCGGTCTTGGAACCACCAGCTCTGCTGTGGACATTCCAAGTCACCCAGATGACCAGGTTACAGGTACATGTACGCCAAATTCAAATAGATTACCATGCTTCCATATTTTCGCTATCATCAGCCTAAAAGATACAGTTAAAATATCAAACACAAATTTAAAGGGAAATGAATCAGCAGTATGAATGTACGTTTTTAAGAACTGCACATAGCTACTATGCGGAGAAGCGCATGTTCTTAATATACAGTTTCAAAAACTACATATATTATTTAGTTGTAACAGACATGCGTAGACCGTAAACCTTTTTCATACCACCTTATTATGCTAAATTATTGTTGTAGAAAGAAACAGCGATCTTGGAACCACCAGCCCTGCAGTGGACATTCCAGATCACCCAGATGACCAGGTTACAGGTACGCCAAATTCAAATAGATTACCATGCTTGCATGCATATTTTCGTTATCATCAACCTAAAAGATACAGTTAAGATATCAAACAAGACATTTAAAGGGAAATGAATCAGCAGTAGGAATGTACGTTTTTAAGAACTGTACATAGCTACTATGCGGAGAAGCGCATATTCTTAATATACTGTTTCACAAAAACTAAATATATTATTTAGCTGTAACAGACATGCGTAGACGTAAACCTTTTTCATACCACCTTACTATGCTAAATTATTGTTGTAGAAAGAAACAGCGACCTTGGAACCACCAGCTCTGCTGTGGACATTCCAAGTCACCCAGATGACCAGGTTACAGGTACATGTACGCCAAATTCAAATAGACTACCATGCTTGCATATTTTCGTTATCATCAGCCTAAAAGATACAGTTAAGCTATCAAACGCAACATTTAAAGGGAAATGAATCAGCAGTATGAATGTACGTTTTTAAGAACTGTACATAGCTACTATGCGGATAAGTGCATATTCTTAATATACTGTTTCACAAAAACTAAATATATTATTTAGCTGTAACAGACATGCGTAGACCGTAAACCTTTTTCATATCACCTTACTATGCTAAATTATTGTTGTAGAAAGAAACTGCGATCTTCGAACCTCCAGTTCTGCTGTGGACATTCCAGATCACCCACATGGCCAGGTTACAGGTATGCTAAATTGAAATACATTACCATGCTCGCATATTTTCGTTATCATCAGCCTAAAAAAATACAGTTAAGCTATCAAACACAACATTTAAAGGGAAATGAATCAGCAGTATGAATGTACGTTTTTAAGAACTGCACATAGCTACTATGCGAAGAACCGTACATTCTTAATACACTGTTTCAAAAAACTACATATATTATTTAGCCGTAACAGACATACGTAGACCGTAAACCTTTTTCATACCACCTTACTATGCTAAATTATTGTTGTAGAAAGAAACAGACATGCGTAGACCGTAAACCTTTCTCATACCACCTTACTATGCTAAATTATTGTTATAGAAAGAAACACACATGCGTAGACCGTAAACCTTTTCCATACCACCTTACTATGCTAAATTATTGTTGTAGAAAGAAACAGCGATCTTGGAATCACCTCTGCTGTGGACATTCCAAGTCACCCAGATGACCAGGTTACAGGTACATGTACGCCAAATTCAAATAGATTACCATGCTTGCATATTTTCGTTATCATCAGCCTAAAAGATGCAGTTAAGCTATCAAACACAACATTTAAAGGGAAATGAATCAGCAGTATGAATGTACGTTTTTAAGAACTGTACATAGCTACAGTACTATGCGGATAAGTGTATATTCTTAATATACTGTTTCACCAAAACTAAATATATTATTTAGCTGTAACAGACATGCGTAGACCGTAAACCTTTTTCATATCACCTTACTATGCTAAATTATTGTTGTAGAAAGAAACAGCGATCTTGGAATCACCTCTGCTGTGGACATTCCAGATAACCCAGATGACCAGGTTACAGGTGCGCCAAATTCAAACAGATTACCATGCTTGCATGCATATTTTCGTTATCTTCAACTTAAAAGATACAGTTAAGATATCAAACAAGACATTCAAAGGGAAATGAATCTGCAGTATGAATGTACGTTTTTAAGAACTGCACATAGCTACAGTACTATGCGGAGAAGCGCATATTCTTAATATTCTGTTTCAAAAACTAAATATATTATTTAGCTGTAACAGACATGCGTAGAGCGTAAACCTTTTTCACATCACCTTACTATGCTAAATTATTGTTGTAGAAAGAAACAGCGATCTTGGAATCACCTCTGCTGTGGACATTCCAAGTCACCCAGATGACCAGGTTACAGGTACATGTACGCCAAATTCAAATAGATTACCATGCTTGCATATTTTCGTTATCATCAGCCTAAAAGATACAGTTAAGCTATCAAACACAACATTTAAAGGGAAATGAATCAGCAGTATGAATGTACGTTTTTAAGAACCGCTCATAGCTACTATGTGGAGAAGCGCATATTCTTAACTATCACCTTACTATGCTAAATTATTGTTCTAGAAAGAAACTGTGGTCTTGGAACCACCAGCTCTGCTGTGGACATTCCAAGTCACCCATATGACCAGGTTAAAGGTACGCCAAATTCAAACAGATTACCATGCTTGCATGCATATTTTCGTTATCTTCAACTTAAAAGATACAGTTAAGATATCAAACAAGACATTTAAAGGGAAATGAATCAGCAGTATGAATGTACGTTTTTAAGAACTGCACATAGCTACTATGCAGAGAAGCGCATATTCTTAATATACTGTTTCAAAAACTAAATATATTATTAAGCTGTAACAGACATGCGTAGACTGTAATCCTTTTTCATACCACCTTACTATGCTAAATTATTGTTGTAGAAAGAAACAGACATGCGTAGACCGTAAACCTTTTTCATACCACCTTACTATGCTAAATTATTGTTGTAGAAAGAAACAGCGATCTTGGAACCACCAGCCCTGCAGTGGACATTCCAGATCACCCAGATGACCAGGTTACAGGTACGCCAAATTCAAATAGATTACCATGCTTGCATGTATATTTTCGTTATCATCAACCTAAAAGATACAGTTAAGATATCAAACAAGACATTTAAAGGGAAATGAATCAGCAGTAGGAATGTACGTTTTTAAGAACTGTACATAGCTACTATGCGGAGAAGTGCATATTCTTAATATACTGTTTCACAAAAACTAAATATATTATTTAGCTGTAACAGACATGCGTAGACGTAAACCTTTTTCATATAACCTTACTATCAATGCTAAATTATTGTTGTAGAAAGAAACAGCGATTTTCGAACCACCAGCTCTGCTGTGGACATTCCAGATCACCCAGATGGCCAGGTTACAGGTATGCCAAATTGAAATAGATTACCATGCTTGCATATTTTCGTTATCATCAGCCTAAAAGATACAGTTAAGCTATCAAACACAACATTTAAAGGGAAATGTATCAGCAGGATGAATGTACATTTTTAAGAACTGCACATAGCTCAGTGGCGGACACTTTGAAATATTGGGGGGGGGGGGGCACGGGCTGAGAATTTATTGGGGGTCTGGGGGCATGCCCCCTGGAAAATTTTTTAAATTTGGATCCCGGAAATGGCATTTGCAGCATTCAGTGAACACATTTTGTAAAAAACTTTAGGTTTTCAAAACACTGTTTTAATGGTCATTTTGTTATAAATCACATGCTAAGCATAAAAAACCAACATTTCAGAGAAAATATTTATATAATTATTTACATTTGTGAATAGAATTGCAAGGTGGTTTAATTTAACGTGCCAAGAAGAATGTAAAAATTTATTCGCTAAGTGAGTGAAATCTATTCGCTGCGCACGCTTTTGTTTCGTTAATTTAACATAAAACCACAAATTGGAATGTTAATTGAATTATCTATTGTTTTTCAGCATAATAGTTTAATACGCATTCAAATATTATCGTGCAGCAGGAAATTTCGCCGCTAAAAAAAGAAAGAACAAAACAAAAAAGAACACAGAACAAAAATGTCAAAAAGAATGTATAAAATGCGTATGTTCTGACATGTACAGTAAAGAAACATATATTATTATATTGTTTGGTATGTTGCTTACTTTTTTAGCTTCAGTTTTATCAAATAGTCATCATTCAATATGACAATTACGTTATATGGGTGTGATTTGTATTATTTGGTGCAAAATTTTTACAGTCTTTCAATATTATTGGGGGGGGCGGGGGGCTTTTGAAAGACTGTAAAAATTTTGCACCAAATAATACAAATCACACCCATATAACATACTTCTCATATTGAATGATGACTATTTGATAAAACTGAAGCTCATAAAGTAAGCAACATACCAAACAATATAATAATATATGTTTCTGTACTGTACATGTCACAACATACGCATTTTATACATTCTTTTTGACATGTCCGCCGCTGTCATAGCTACCATGCGGAGAAGCGTACATTCTTAATACACTGTTTCAAAAAACTAAATATATTATTTAGCTGTAACAGATATGCGTAGACCGTAAACCTTTTTCATATCACCTTACTATGCTAAATTATTGTTGTAGAAAGAAACAGCGATCTTGGAATCACCTCTGCTGTGGACATTCCAGATAACCCAGATGACCAGGTTACAGGTATGCCAAATTCAAATAGATTACCATGCTTGCATATTTTCGTTATCATGAACCTAAAAGATACAGTTAAGACATCAAACAAGACATTTAAAGGCAAATGAATCAGCAGAATGAATGTACGTTTTTAAGAACTGTACATAGCTACTATGCGGAGAAGCGCATATTCTTAATATACTGTTTCAAAAACTAAATATATTATTTAGCTGTAACAGACATGCGTAAACCTTTTTCATATCACCTTACTATGCTAAACAAAGACGCTCTATGGAGTGATTACTCGCTGGGATTATTAAAATAGGGGCCCGTTTAGTGTTAGATGGATGCGCAGATGTCGGAATATGAGCGACCAAATGTAAGAAAAAGTAAACTTTGACCTACTCACTAGTCTTAAGTTAGTAGCATCAACATGGTTTGCTGCTGCTACCTACTATACAAATTCAGTACGTCATTTAAAAATTGTTGTTTATCTATATAGTGATATAGACAACTAGCTATAATAAACTTGAATACATGCTCTCATATAAACGAAAACATATTTGATTCTCTGCTGTGCTTTGAGTTTTTTCTCCAGGTTTTATAGCAGCAAAAGGCATGCCTTCAATAGAATAGCAATATCTAAGCTGGGTATCCCTTGACATTCAGCACACAACTGGGACAGTCTAACTTTAAATAATCAATGCAGCTATTACAGTTTTTTTATTGTATTTTTGGTTAATAAGGCAGGACTGTTAGGAATAAATGTAAGGTATAAAGGACCAAAGCCAAAGTGCGGCCTTATAGTGGGCTTATTTTATTGGCTATAAGCATTTCAATAACTAAAGTAAAAAAACCTATTGTCTTTTAAAAGGTAGTTTCAAATTTCTTTCATGTTTAAAAATCAGGGTCTAATTTCAAGTAGCTACTTGACAAATAGCTAATAATCAGATCTAGAAGTTTGCCTCCTTTCATTTGGCATTTATATTCTAAAGATTACAACTTTAAGTTGCGCATGGCAATGACTCAAATTGCGCCTTCTCCGCCAAACCCTGCAGACAGCAAATAATGACAATAAAAATTATATAAATATTGAAAGATTTAATCCAATATAAATCATTGCCAGTCAATCCTCTTGACAAATGCAACAAAACATTTTATGAATGTTTCTCAATGACCAACCTTGACCTTTTGTGATTTAAAGCTAGGAAGAAATATATCAAAGTATTTATACATTGTTTAGTGCATAAAATGAACAGAATATAGTGTGACTCACACTCAATGCAACTCTCAATATAAACAACTTTAATGAATGTTTGTCAATGACAAACCTTGACCTTTTTGTGATTTAAAGCTAGGAAGAAATATATCGAACTATTTATACATTATTTAGTGCATAAAATGAACAGAATATAGTGTGACTCACACTCATTGCAACTCTCAATATAAACAACTTTAAGGAATGTTTGTCAATGACCAACCTCGACCTTTTTGTGATTTAAAGCTAGGAAGAAATATATCAAACTATTTATACATTGTTTAGTGCGTAAAACAGAATATAGTGTGACTCAAACTCAATGCAACTCTCAATATAAACAACTTAAAGTTGCCCATGGCAATAACTCAAAATGCGCCTTCTCCGCCAAACAATATAACAAATAATGACAATAAAAATCATATAAATATTGAAAGATTTACCTGAAAACGTTGTACTTTTGTGAGTTTTGTCTTCCTGATTTATTGATATACGATCACTTTCTGTATATAAAGTTTGATTCATGCGGAAACTTTTAAGTTTCGTCGCAAAAATAAACGAATAAAAGTCGGTTTAACTCATTAACGCCCAAGCTGTTACAATGTTTCTACCCCCCTAACGTGCAAGCAATATGGCGAATACGTGACTGAATTCAAGAGCTTTCACCAAAATGGCAATATCTCAGAAACAGTTGCATGAAAAAATCTGGTCTTTTCAACCAAATATTATTAATATATGATTGACCAAATTTAGTTTAAATGAACTTGCATACCTATATATATCATTAGTTTTTTCAATGAGAATTTTTATTTGTAAACCAGTGACACTATTTTTTTCATGTCACTCATCACCTAAAGGGGCAATATCTCCATATATTTATATAAAAACCAAAAAAAAAATTATTTACTAAATTAGTACATATCTATATTATAACCAGTTTTCATCTATTGGGATATGAATTAGAAAATGATCAAAAATTATAAAAATACTCCTTTGCTTTTTTGGGCAAGATGTTTACAACATGAAATTTAGAACAGTAACTAAGTGTTAAAATTCAACAAAGTGTGCAAGCCAAAACACAGTGCTTGTACATCTTTGGAGTTTTTAATTACCTCAAATATATTTAAAAGGACATACGGTACTAGAATCTATTTGTTTTCAATATAAACCAAGGATGGGAAGGTGAGAAAATAGGAATTTTCTGAGGTGTTTTTAACACAGACAATGACAGCCGACATTTTCAAAGGCAAATTGCGGTGACAAAACCAAAAGTTATTCACTTCTCTACTCAAAGCACTGAAAAACACCATAAAGAGAAAAACATTTTAAACATACATCAGGTAAGCCTTTTAGCTCAATTTTCTCATGTTTCTGTTTGGAAAGAAACGGTTTTTAGCCAAAATTATTTTGCGTGCCAATGTAGGCTGCTATAAAATGTCAGACACGCGTTCTCTTTTGAAGTCTGGCTCTCAAAAACAATCGCTTTTTTTAGTTTGAAATAAGCTTTCATTAGGACTAATTGTGTAGAAATGTTATCTGTATGCTCAAATGAAAAAGATAACCTAATATTCAGGTATTCAACATAGCTATAAAAGGGTGAAATAAGGACTTTCATCTTTGGTTGTTTGTCAGACATGAGAAACCACATTAGTGCCATTTTGTCGCGCGTGCTATTTTATAAAATAAACACCTCAAAACCATAAACTTTTAGTTCAGAAAACTACAAAGTTTCCCATAGACATTATTAAAAATGTTCTAGTGAAACGATTTCATGATAAATAAGCGAGCAATGGGTCCGAAAGGACGGCTAAATTATGTTTTTGTTGGGACTTCAGTTTCATGGCTTCCCGCAAAGGAAGCCATTTCAGAGAGAAGCGACAACAACGGCAAACAACCGTCGCGACCAAATTTTGATAACTTTTCCTTCTGATTCAACATGTAGTTACTAGAAAATGAGGTTGGATCAACATTACTATCTGCCTTATCGATTTAAAGTTTTATGGGGATATAAAACCCAATACAAAAAGCATTTTAAAAGCATTAGAACTCAAGTGCGGACTTTTTGAGAATTCGCACGCGGCAAGCAAGCGCATTAATTCAATACACTTATTTCAAACCACAATATGTCTGAAACGAGTTGTCATTTTAAGACTAAATTGATGAAAATAGATATAACAGTGATTTTGGAGTACCCTACTTACTTAGTGTAATTTAATACTCGAAGTATTCTTGCCAAATAGGGCACGTACGCACACAGTAATTTAATCTGGTGTCGTTTGAAACATACTTTAGCTAAAATAACAACTTGAACAAGAAGACCAACAATGGGGTTACGAAAACAGTCGAAATTGTGCCCAAATTTGCATAAACAGTTCGTCTAAAAAGATAACTTTAAACTAGATTCAACCAACATTAATGCAGTCGAATTTTGTGAGTGTTTGATCGCATATTTCTACTCAAAAATACCCTTTAAAAAATCGTATCTGCTCACTTGTGTTCCGTGTTCATCTTTCTTGTGATTTCCGACTTCTATTTTTAATAAAGTTTGGAGAAATCCTCATCTTTTTGGCTGAAAATCTCGCGCATGGTTCACAGAAAAACTTGGCCCCAAAACGTCAATACATTCGCTTTCCTTTCATGCCAAATTTTCGTTGTAGTTGATTCAGAAACCTCTTCTTTTCTTGCTTTTAAAACTTGCTGTAAAATCTTTCTTTGTAACAGAATCGCCATTATTCATTATTTTTGGAAAACTAAGATTTTAAACTTGAAAAACTTTGCGAGTTTCTGACCGATTTTCTTGCATGATACACCGTTGAAAAGCTCGAATTTCACGTTCTATTTTCGTATCCGTTGCTAGGCAACCCAATAAACACGTGCTCAAATATCATGCCCGCAAGTTAAGGTGTCATGCCAGGGCGCATTCGGGCGTATTGTCCGTTACCCACTTGTCAATCTCAGGGCGCATACGGGCGCATTGGGCGTTAATGAGTTAAAACGCATTTCGCTTTAAACGGTCGCTAAGTAACCATAGTCCATAAATGGTCAACACTTCCATAAAGGGAAAAGCGAAGTAACACGAATACTGGGCGCCAATATTTGCAGTTTTTGCGCGAAGGTGCAATATTGTACAAGGTGAAGCATATATCCGAGTATTTTGTGAAATATAAGTATGCGACTTACAGTTGAGGAGAAAAGAAAGATGCGCAATGAGAGAAAGAAGAGAAAGCGGTCTCACAAATCGGAATTGAAGCGCGCGGCGCTCATAAAAGATGCACTTCGTGAGGTTCAAAGAAAAACCGACGAGCAAAGGAGCATTGCTTCAAAATATTATAAACTTTGGAGGAGAAGTGTAGAAACTAACAAAAAATTACAAAATAAGTTGGACAATAGAGAAAGCAGTATAAAAAAGGTATACAAATATTAATAGGTACATGAATATTACAATACTTCTTATTAATAATTCTTGGCTACCAGTACCTACAGTATATAAAATACAGATATATACAGACAAAGGGACTGGTCATTATTTTTGGAAGGGGGGTGGGGGTCAAAGAAAAATGTTGTAATAGGAGGGGGGTCACCCTTGAATTTCTGCTTTCTTAGGGGGGTCTTTCAATTTTTAAAATTTAGGGAAGAAAATATTCCCCTTCCATAAATAATGATCAGTCCCTAATACATTAATTGTCAGTATATATTTTCAAGTTCATAACATTTGATGAAATTCTATACTATATAAAGGGTCATCCCTAACACAGCACCCCCCCCCCCAACCAACCCTCTGTCCCCAAAGTCCTATTTTATGCATTTTATTGATGAACAATAAATTTCAAAGGTAACTCATTTGAACATGTCCAGCAAAAGTATGGTGGGTGTTAACATCATCCGGCATGAAGAATTGGAAGAGCTCGAGATAAGCAGTGAATCAATTGGGAATGGTGTTTATGGCAATTGTTTCCTCAAACGATTCAACAGATTACAAATAACAGTTGTTGAAAAGCAACTGATTGATAGCACTGTTGACATGTTATACAAAGAAGCAATGTTTATGCAGAAATTTTCCCACAGATGTATCCCATTGCTTCTAGGGGTCCAACTGGAGAAGAAACCAATCTCCCTGATAATTCAATTTATTGGGGAGAACAGTAAGTCCATTACAATCTTCAAATTGTTGTTTGATCCACTCTATCAACAACAAGCTTCAAAAATGTCAACAAAAACATGGCTCTGCATATGTTATGACATTGCTGATGCACTTGACCACATGCACCAGAGGGGATATCTTCACTGTGACCTAAAGTCCAATAATGTGTTGGTTGCTGAAAATAAGGGATATCTTATTGACTTCGGGAAAGTTTGTGAGATCTCTCGACCAAAGGCGAAGAAATATAGGGAGGTTTATAGACATATTGCGCCAGAGGTTTTGAAAGGCTCTCCTGTTGCACCAGCCAGTGATACGTATTCCCTTGGGAGAATTCTTAAAGAAATTGGCAAGACAATAAACAGTTCAATCCTGTTGCAATTAGCCAAAGCAGCAACAAATCCAAACCCCACACAAAGGCCCACTCTTATGAAAATCCTGAACATGTTGAATGCTGAGAATATCCACAGCTGAGATGCAACTACACAAATGAAATGACAAAAAGTTAGGATAGATATTTAAAGACATTGATCATTGGGATAATATTCAACTAGGTAATCTCTAACATTCTCTACTTTGTTATTTTACTCTGTCTATTCCAGATGATTTTACTTGTCAAACTAGGGGAACAGCATACACATAATTTAAATTCCAATGCATGATTAGTGATGATGCATGCATGACTAAAGCTGATATGAAAGCATATAAACTAATTATACTTAATCTAATATAAATAAATATGCAATGCACAGCCACAGTGATAAGTCTTACAGTGTCTTTCAGCAGTCAGGTAGATCCTACTGTGTTAATATTACTTCGTTTATTAAACAGATAACTTGACAAAATCATTAAACGTGATAAATATAAACTATAGAGCACAGTCACAGTGATAACTCTTGTGCTGTCAAGATGAATCGTCTTTCGGCAGCAGGTTGTCAAGATATTGTGTCTTTCGGCAACCAGTTTGATCTTAACTGTGTTATTATATTTAAGCACAAATAACAAATTACTAAAACAGTTAAATTGGTATCAAAAACTTATAACCAAACTCTAGCTGTGTAATATAGTTGAATTATATATGTAAGTTTATCAAAATATTTTGTCTTTTGGCCAAACCAACTCAACATTAACTGTGCGATTACTGGGTATTCTCTGAAGATATACCATAGATGTATTCATGTATACATGACTTTTTTAAACATGAATACAAATCATGTGAATATAAATGTGTTGCACAGTCACAGTGATAACTCTTGTGCTGTCAAGATGAATCGTCTTTCGGCAGCAGGTTGTCAAGATATTGTGTCTTTCGGCAACCAGTTTGATCTTAACTGTGTTATTACATTTAACCATGCATAACAAACTATTGCTAAATTACCATTAAAATAAATATTTATAACTAATATTAAAGTGTGTTTACTATATTTAATTTGATCATTCTAAAGCATTATCAATCGATGGTACATCATTATAACAATGTGTATGCGTCAAATAGATATTGAATACTTAGATGTAACTCTACATGAAATATGCTTTTGAATATCATATATAAATAGATTTTGTTATTTTCAGGAACTTAATAGAGTTGAAGTCTTTTACAAAATAGCACCAAAGATGAGTAATGCACACATATAATGTGAATACTTCTATAATCATATATGTGAAGAGATTCTTCAATAAAATGTACTGAAACAAGTGGACGACAGGGCCATAACAAGCGCTCTTGTCTCCACAGTCTGGTGTTTGGTTCTTTGTAAAAATTAGAAATATAAAGGTAAAAGGGCTGCTTGTATCAGAGCTGGAACCTTACTGTTAATAATATTAAACTACAGTACTTCGATGAACATGTCAGGAGAATTGGGCTCTTTGAAGCAGGTAAGACAATCACAGTGTCTCTTCATAAGCAATTAATTAATCACTTGTTAATAAACTGATCTTTAATATTCACTTTATTTTGGGCCATTATGCCATTGTTTGAAACAGTCAAAAACGGCGTAAAAATGATAAGGGAAGCAATTTAGTAAAACGGGAAATTCTCACATTCCTGGTGGCCGTATTAAGAGACCATAAATGTATACGTACAATAAATATACATCGTGTTGAGACACAAATTTCAAGCAATCAACCTTTATACAACCTACATACTGTCAACATACATATATAAACATATACGATTCTTAGATTCTATAACGAAACAAGAAAACGGAGCGCTTCGCCAGCAAAATAATACACGGATAGACCGAATACAAACCTTCAAGTAAATTCCCATCACAACCCGTAATTTACAAACATAGGTTCAAGCCAAATCTTTAGAAAATATACCAAATTGAATATTCTTGATAACCCAATTCCAATGCGACGCCATGTTGCGAAAAAAAAAGCGGAAATTTTACGCCTGATTTCGCTACTTACGCCAAGAGCACTGGAAACTACTAACTTTTTTGACCCAGTCATTAACGCACCTGAGTACCTGGCATAAGTCTTGAAAATTCGTCATCTTCAAAAAAGTTAACAGGTGATTTGGTGTCTTCCAGAAGTGTTTTGCCTTATCTTGGATTTGGCACTGATATAATTCCCTTTTCTTCTTTCAATTTTCTAGCAGAACGAATAGTGTAGTCAGGGGCCATGACCCAGGTGTAAGTGTCAAAATTTGAATTTGGTTTTGTAATGAGATATTTTGAGCTCATCTCATTCAAATTCTGTTATTTCATATTCTGTCAACTGTGGTGTAGTGGAGGGAGAGGGGTGGGGGGCTGAACCCCCTTGTTAAAATTTCATGTCGACCTGAGCCCCCTATATTTTTTGCATGTTGCATAATCTTAACAATGTCAAAAACACACACAAAAATATCAGAAAATGAGAATGTTCTTTAGAATTGCATCTCATTTTCAGTCAACATTTAATTTCCACAATACTGATTTTTGTAATCTTTATTTAGTCACTTTGTTCACGCGCTGTAGCAAATTGGCTGTGATGAAAGTCCAATAGTTCCTGTTTTGTCTGATTTAAACTCTATCCAGGGCCATAGCAACCGGGGGAGCTGGGGTTGCTGCCCCCCCCCCAATAATTTGTCAATAATCATTCTTTTTTCAAAATCATGCAGACCTTTATCTTTTAAATAATATACCTTTAAAACACTGACAATTATTTAATTTTAAGTGGTTACATTATCCATGACAAACGGCAAAGAATGAAGATATTACCCATACTTTCCTGCAACTTATCCAATATAAACTGTAACATATATTTTGAAATATCTTCAGGAAAGCTCTTTAATAACAGCTGTATTATGGATATAAAGTGAAAATGCTATGGATAGCAGTGCTGTAGGAAGCTCTTTTTTGATTGGGGGGCTGAAAGAGAGGGCCGAAGACCCAAGGAAATTTTAAAATTTAGAGTCTCTGAAATGCCATTTCCTGGAATTTGGGGGATGATTTGACAGAATTCTGATGGTCAGAAAACAGCGTTTTAGTATGTCAAAATTTGCAATTTAGTAGTATTAAATGGGCATATTTAATCAAGGCATATTTAATTAATTATATAAATATTAGGCTGTTAGCAACATGGAAAATTTACACCAGGAATCCAAGTCACAGCCCAGTCAGAAATTTTTTGAACCCCGCTTTCCCACTGGGCGATATTTATTTTTTCATGGCAATTTTTTTCGCTAACCAATCATACCACTGAATGTAGTTTTCACCTTCAAAAAGTAGTACAGAAACCTTGAATTCCTTACTTTTTTGAGACGCTCAGAATATTTTATATCACTAACAGCACTATTGTTTTTAATAGGAATAATGTAGAATGTTTGTTCCACAATTACTATAATAAACCCCAACAAAATTTAGAACTTCCAAAATATCATATTGTACCCCCACCCCTGCCGCTAATTAAGGACACTTTTGCAGAGCACCTCTTGTTAACATTCCAGGACTACACCACTGCATAGTCAGTCTCATCACCTGCTTCTGCAGGCTCATCATTTTTCTTTTCTGGCCTTGTGAAAACAATTTTTACAAAGCGCAGTTACTAAAACATGGAACGACCCACAAAGACCCCACAATGAACCCACAACGATCTACAACGACCGACAACGATCTACAACGATCACAAAATTACCTTCAGTTGCAATTTTGCATGACAATAAACAATATAAGTTATTGTTTGTGGATACACCACATATTTTATTATTGCAAAGCTTTCGATCCTAATCCCGATCTTCACACGAACCGGTGGGATTTAAAACAAGGAAACTAAACGAGCTAGTAAGGGTTAAATGTGAGAGCATCGACACACACAGATTGAGGAATACCTTTGTTCATAACATTCGGGACATACACCACTGTACTAATAAATATATTTACTTTCAGTATAATATGAAAATATGAACAAAAAAGCAAAAATAAATTCAAAAATTAAACGAAGCTTGCGCAGACGGCAGAACAACACGAACACAGATGATGTTCACATTGACTACAGAATTTCTCACATAGTGCAAAAGGAATTAAAGATCTGTTTTTAACGACTAAAATATTTGGCCGAAAAATATTTGGAGTTGTACACACCATAGACACCTTTTTCGTCCGACATGTTTAATAATCAACACATGTGATCAAAATTTGGCGGGAAATGCAAAACTTCCACTTGCGCATGCAGAGATTTTCCCTATGGATTTCCCTACACCCTTATTTTCTCTGTAACGGGAATAGCTGTGTAAGTACCGATGGTGGCCAATGATCTGGGGCACAGAATGTTGTTGGATCGTTGTGGCTGGTTGTGGTTCGTTGAGGCTGGTTTTGGGGTCGTAGTGGGTTGTTATGCTGTCGTAGTGGGTCGTTGTGGATTGTGGGGTCGTTATGGGGTCGTTGTGGGTCATTGTGGATTGTTGTGGGGTCGTAGTGGATTGTTATGGGGTCCTTTTGGATCGTTGTGAGGTTGTTGTGCATCGTTGTGGGGTCATAGTGGGTCGTTATGCTGTTGTCGTGGGGTCGTAGTGGAGTCGTTGTGGGGCCGTAGTGGGTTGTTGTGGTCGTTTTGGGGACGTTGTGGGTCGTAGTGGGTCTGTTGTGGGGTCGTTGTGGGTCGTTCCATGTTTTAGTAACTACGTTTTACAAAGTTGCCAGCCAGGTATTACATCAATTTCTTTTTGGCTAAGTTGCTTTGCCAAATGAAGGGTGATAATATGGCTACCTTTGCTTTATGAGAGTTGAAAATATTACAACATTTGTTGAATTTTCTTTCAAACATGTTGGCATACATTTTGCTATGATGCATACAAATAGTCATATTTGTTTTATCTTGTTGATAAGCAATTCTTGCCCTCATGAAAAAGGTTTCTTGGTACATCTTCGAATAATCACTAAGGTTTTCCATACCTTGTTTTCTTGTGTACAAAAGCTTATGGCATTCATCTCCAATAGTTTCACCAAAATCACACTGACTTAAAGTGGTGTAAAAATCCATAACCAAATTTC